TTTTTTGTAACATGTAATAAAATTGTATATTATGGAAAACCTTACAGATATTTCGATTTGAAAGCGAAAGCTTTTGAAATATTCGAAAATTATAACAATCTATAAGATTCCGTTTACGAATTTCTCTCTCATAGAAGAAGCATGTCATGAAAATAAAAGCAAAACTAAGGATTCTGGGCGTCATCCCATTAATAGCAGGTTCTCGTAAGTTATAGCTAAAGCGATTGAAAAAGTGTGTTTTCAGACCATGCTCATGCCTGTCTTGGACTTCGAGCAAGAAAATAAAACAGGAGTAAAACTTACGAAGCATGTGATCAAAGTGCCAACCGATCCACGAGTTGTTGATCTGCTGAAGTACAAAAAAGATATTTTGAGTAAAATGTGGACTATGCAGCCAAGCATTTTCGGAATGCTTCGGGTAATAATGGGAAATTTAGCAGAACAAGGTACTTGGTCCGCGGGACAAATTTATTATTTTAGATGGTCCAAAACATGACTAGGTCATTCACTTACCAATGCGAGAGTAGGTTTATTTTTTACAAAATCATTTCTTTGCCAACTAGTTTTCAAAGGAGTAATTACGGACGCACAATTGATGAAACAATTACGAGATGAAAAGTTTGATGTGGGTATCTCGGAAGCTCTTGGCACGTGTGGTTTTGGTGAGGATTATATTTTTTCTATTCCCTTTCTTGACAAGTATTCAAAAAAATGGAATTTCAGGTGTATTTGAACTTGCCCAAATACCGGCCTCTATTGCAACTCTCTCGATTGTTCATAAAGAAACTGTAGCAGCTATGATTGGCGAGTCTGTTAACCCAAGCTATGTTCCAGGTGAATGGCTAAATAACATAACTAGGTGAATTTGAGTCAATGCGCTGTTTAGGACCATTTTCTGTCTCTGGTGACCGTATGGGATTCTTGGATAGAATAAAAAATGTGCTGGGCATAATTGTTGGAGAAACATTCTTCAAAGGAGTCTTCAATGGCGAGGAAGAGGCATTTCGGAGGATTCACGGACCACAGTTCAAAGGACATCAGGTACAGTAAGCAAAATTTGGACGAAATGGGACTGCTTACAACCGGTATTCCCCGTTTCTGCAAAATTCCTAACACTTCTTTTCTCAAGAGCCTGTAAATAAGAAATGTCCGGCTTTACCCTATAATATAAAACCCTTATATTTCATTGCTTAAATAGAAGATAAGAGCTTGAATTATAGCTGCTAAAAAACGACAAAAATGACAAGAATATGCTAAGAATGTACCCAAGAAATAAGAAATACCGATTGAAGCCCTACCATATGCATGTGCAACTCACGTGTGTGAGCT